ATAAATAAATAAATAAATAAATAAATAAATAAAATTTACCACTGTTATTACCTTTCCAATGCCCATTTTCTTCATCTCAACAATAACATTTTAAATTAATATTCAGCTTTGTAGACAGAAAGACTGTGCAGCTGGAAAAGTTAAACCTGCTTTTAAGAGTTGCTGACAGCCACATGTACTCTGAAACATCTTTTTTCCTTTAAATCCAAAATGCTGCATAGGATTAATACAAATATAATCAAAAGACCATTGTGCTATGGCATTATTTCAGAATTTAATGGCTGAAAATTCTCAAATCCACAATTTATTTCTATTACAACTTACAGCACTCTTTGATTTCCTCCTGAAATATATATTGGGATATCTGTTTATTATAAAATGCATCCAGCTGCTGAGACCATCCAGTGTTATCATCTAAGAAAAATTATAGAGAAAAAAATGAAAGTAATATTTGCTACTATTTACAAATACAATAGAAGTATGTTACATGCTATACATACTTAATAACAAACAATACCATGAAAAAAAATCACTATGATGAAATAAAGATGTCCTCTCCCCAAACTTGCTGTTACCTCCCAGCACCTGCCATCTGAGATGACCACCTCATTCTGTCTTATGGTACAGGCAGACCAAAAGACAGGGACAGGGATCCAAGTTTTTTCAGCTGTAGGAAAAACACTCACCACATTTGCGTATCTTTCCAATTACTGCTTCTTCACTGGATTATATGAAATAGGTTAAAATTATTAATTTTGCAGGAACAAGTCAAATTATGCTGACTATTTCCTTCAATATAGCAAAGCAGTTGAGAGTGTTAGCAAATTAGTCCTTCCGTTACATTCTTTGCCAAAGCAGATTTACAATACAATATATCAGGAAAGATGTGATGTACAGAGGAGATATGCAACATATAATGTGCAACTGCTATTCTAGATAGGGGCTTAAATTTTCCTGGCACAGTGAGAGACAAATCAAACTAAATGCTTTGCCTTTAAATTTCAACCACTTTAATTCCCAGAAATGTCCAAGAACATATACTAAAAGATCTATCGTGCAGATAACTACTTCTGAAGGGGAAACATTGAATTGGGAGCAACATATTGCAGTCATAAATCACCAGAGCCCTTTAACAACTAAGATTTGTTCATACACTGATTAGAAGTTGTTCTCCCAGTACTGCCAAATATGATTAATGGTAGTTCTGGACTTGTTTTCAGAGAACTAGAAATTCTGATGTCTGAATTTTTGTTTATTTCTAAAACATTCTCCAATTACTGCTCCAATTACTGATTCCAGTTTAGCAGAAAACTGACCCTGAATTCAGACAAAACAGAATTTGGGGATTTTTTTTTAACAGCTTACAAACTATGGTGTGCATACTTCAGTGTCTCCATAATTCTTTGTGATTTTCACCACATTTAGCTAAATATGAGTTTTTATCCTAAGTAAATACCAGATCTATGTCATTTTAAAAACTACTCTTTCTCTACAAGTGGCTTTGTTCAACTGTTTAAAACATAAATGGAAATTTATCAGTTTTTTATGACATATAT